TTGTCGAGTTGACTTCTCCACTCTTGCTGTGACAAACCTGTGACAGGTTTAAAACAAACCAACAAGAGGTTCATTAAAAAAATTAAGAAGATAAAATGCCTTTTTTGGTCAACACTGGCAGATTCCAAAGAAGAAGGCTGTCTTATGAAGCCAAGAGGAAGCATCATCTACCTCTTCACTGTTATTGCTTTTTTAACTAGGGAGGTGCTGAGCACTGGCTCTGTTACACCCTACGTCAGGATTACCTGTGGAGTAAATATGTTGCGAAATTGATTATTAAAATGTCATTCTTGAATATAACTTACTTTATCTACTGCCTTCCGCACAATCTCTTTATATTCTTCCTTGCTAATATCTTTATTCTGGTAGAAAGGTTTAATTGCCAGTTTGACCTCTTGCGCTGCTTTTTCCTGAATTAACAATTTCTGACAAAAAACAAAATCATATTTTATAATCTTGTAGAAACACCCTTCACACAAAATTACTTAAGATTAGTTCTAACCATCAAAACAGTTTAAACTCTGCAGACAGAATTTACTAAAATGTAAGGCATCAAAACCAGAGCCACGTTTCAGTCCTTGGAATACAGCACCTGCATGGATCGCAATGGAAATAGTGGCTGAATCAGAGCAGAATGCACTATTGATCAAAATATTTTAACACATTTCCAGTTGTACAGTTCTAAGAGTCTCACTAGTTCGTTAGATTCAAAGTTAAAGTTCTTGTACTCATACAGTGTCCACAGGGTGACTGCACTGAGAATCCTACACACACACAGGAGACTGCTCTCTAATTTTCAGTGCTGTACAATTTTATTAATTGCTCAACTTGCACTTGCCTGGTCTTTCTTCGAGCTGTCTGCGCTGGCTTCCACAGGTACACTTCCTTTGCTTTCTCCCACTTTTACAGCAGCATTAGAATTTTTTATGTGACTTGATGAAGTTGCGTTACCAGAAGTTGGTCCCTGAACTGTCTCCACATTTCCCAGGGCTGCTGTTGGAGCAGGCAACACTGGTACAGTCATGTTATTACTGACATGAGGTGCATTAGGCATACCCTGTTTTAAGAAGTAGCCAGCAGTTAATGCATTATTCTTCAAAGAGGCAAAAACTATTTTTCCAGCACTCTAAGCAACTACAGAAAAATACTACATGAGCTTCAGTTTCTTAGCTAACTTCTACACTGACTATTGGTACTGCATCTAGGACTTCCATAAGATTAGCACACAAGAAAAAGAAAAGCAGTCAAAAACTGGAAAGAAAAAACCCCCCACACATCTGTTGTCAGACTGCCATTTTCAAGGGACAAAGACAAGTTGCAGAAATATGGCTAGAGCAGCAGCCCACAAAGCAATCATGTCCACCTAACGTAGCAGGGAGACAAAATTAAAACAGCAAAAGGCTTGAAGAGGAGGCATTATACAAGGCAGCCTTCAACTAGATAAGCTAAACATTATTATAGCTTTGGTTTTAAAATGTTACCAGTAGTGACTGATGTAACAAAGTCTTTTAAATGTGGTTTTGCTATAGATGCATAGATAAGCGTTAATCTTAATTTGGTTGCAAAAATAAAGCAGCCTCATCAGGGAAGATCATAAAGCAAAGGGAAAAGAAAACAGGATAGTGGCAAACAGCATTCCAGGATGGCAAAAGGAATAAGAAATCCTCCCTTCCAAAGTTTTTATTTTTACAAGGATATAAATCCCATCTTCCAAGTCCACAGAACAGTGATTGTCAACCAAGGTGCCGTTGCACCCTCTGACCGATACACAAGAACATCCTGACCTATTGCGGTCTGAGTTCTCTGCAACAAAAGAACTGCTTTTATTTTTCTTGTCAAAAATAATGAGTGACAGCTAAGAGTTTTCCAAGGGGTGCCTTGAGTCCGGCAAGGATTAAAATCATTGCTGCGGAGAAACTTGTTCAGTCTGGCTCCCAAAGTCTCAACAAAGAAGTTTACATAAACCAAAGAGTGTTTTAAAGTAAGACATATATAAATACAGTAGATGAGGGAAAATGGAAGAACTCTACAAATTCAATGTCCTGCTGTTACTCTGCATATCCAGTTCTCCCCTTTCCTGGGTCTCCCCCATGAAGTATATGTAAGAGCAGGTAATATTGCATGGCCCCAGGTAGCCAGGCTCACACTGGGTTAAGTGTCTGTTCTTGAGCTTTGGGGTATAAGCAAATAATCAAGATACAGACCTGTCTGTTGCCTCTTATCGGTAGCCAACACAGCAAACACCTGTAATCCAGGTAACAGTTCTTACCATATTTTGCCATATTGTGTCATTAATACTGCTACTGGCTCTTATGGACCTCCAAATGGAAAGGAATTCCTAAGGAATGTTCTGTAACTTGAGACAATGATCAAACCTAAGGAGAGCAAGTTCTTTCAAAACCTGAGTCTTGTCAAATGCATGAGGTAAATAGGTCCTGGGTCATTCACCCCTCTAAATATCTTCACCAACACATTGAAATACATGCACAGAAGAGCTTGCAAAGACCATTCAGGTATTGCAATAATGCCCACGTTCCATTTTAGAAGACTTGTTCCACTGTTTTATATTAGCTGGAGCTATGGGATTCCCACAGCATGCAACTCAGGACTCTGGGAGCAGCAGGCGCCCAACCCTGAGACTCAACAGCCCCAACAATGTTTGGAAAGGCCAGTGAAATAAAACAACTGTGGCAGGACTCATTCCAGCACACTTGATCCTGTTCCAAAAATGACATCTGTTTATAGCCTGAATGTCCTTAACACAGATTATAATGCAGCTCAAAGCATCTTTTAATCTCCCCTCATAGAGATGCAGGGCTGGAAAGGACCTCAGGAGCTAATCCAGTACAACCACCTCCTCAAGGCAGGATCATCCTCATCTAAACTATCCAAATGCAAGTGTTGGTCTAACCTATTCGTAAAACTACACAAACAACCCTGCTGCACAACTATCAGGCACATTGCCCCAAAACACCAAGAACTCCCAAGCCTGCCACAGGTAAAGAAGGGAGAAAAAGGTGCAATGGCACACTGTTGCAAGTGGTAATTAAAATACACCCGAGAGATCCAAGGAAGAGACTGCTACAGAGGAAGACAAAAATCCACAGTCCATACCACTCTGACTATGGGTAAAATGCCTTCCTGATCCCAAATGGTCTGAGCAGAGGAGCAAGACCCTGTGACCAGGAACCACTGGGTTTTAGTCCCAACAAGAGCACCAGCGCACTCCAGTTAAAAATCCCAGTCTTGGATGCAGCAACACCCAATGCTTCTGAGAAAGCTGAAAAAACCCTAACAGGATGGGGGGGGGGGGGGGGGGGG